CCCGATGCTCCAAGATGGCCTCCAAAATGGCTCAAAATAACAGACGATGGTTCAAGATAGCTTCCGGCATGCCTCCAAGTGGCCTGACGAGGGCCACAGGACGGCTCCAAGTGCTCTCGGAGCCCCCTCAGGACCCCCCAAGAAACCAACATCTTTCAAACACTGTCGGAAAAAAAGTCAATGAGGTTTGGCTTCTCGCCTTTTCGCTTCCGATGCGCTTTTGAGGCCTCAAGATGGCCCTTAGATGGCCTCAGAGAGGTCCAAGAGAGGTGCCCAAGAGGCCACCCAGACGGCCCAAGAGTGCCCAAGAGCGGCCCAAGAGCGCACCAAGAGGGCCCCAAGAGGCGATTCAAAAAGGCCCCAGGGGGGGGGGGCCATATTCGAGGAGCCACCCCCTGATGATCGATGGCCTCCAAGATGGCCCGAAGAGGCCCTCGAGGGCTCCCAAGGGACCACCAATAGTGCTCCAAGAGGGCCCCAAGAGGGCCTGAAGACGCCCCAATGCAGCACCAAGAGGACCCCAATGTGGGCCTGAAGACGCCCCAATGCAGCACCAAGAGGACCCCAATGTACCCCAAACGAGTCCCAAGAGGACTCCAAGAGACGATTTTGAAGGCTCTGTCCTCGTGCACGTTGTCATCCTCATCCTCCTTGTCCTCGTCCTTGCCCTCATCATCGTCTTTTTTCTTTTCCTACGACTCTTCGTCGTCGTGGTGGCGGTGGTGGTGGTCGTCGTCGTCGTCTTCCTCCTCCTCCTTCCCTCGCCCCCACGCGGGCCCCAAGGATGGGCCGAAGAGGCCCTCCAAGGCTACCCCCTTGCTCCCAGAGATCTCTCTGTTCACCCGTTCACCCGTTCACCCTGGTTGCCAGCTCTGTTTCACCACAAGTGTCTCTTCGTCCCTTTGGCTGTCAGCTCTCATGGGCAGGGTTGGTTGGTGGGGATACGTCACGCATGAGGAACTTCCACGGAGGAGGACGGGAAGGAGGCGGAGAAAGGACGCCAGAGAAGCGCAGTCCGTTTGCTTTGGCGGGGACTGACGGTCGTGAAGAACAGTGGGCCTGACCCGCCAAGCCTGGGATGTGCCTCGGCAAACCCTCTGTTGTTCCGTGTCACGTACTCTTTCCGTCGAGTGCAGCAGGAGAGAAGCATTGATCGTGATCGTTGTTGCTGTTGTTGTTGTTGTTGTTGTTGCTGTTGTTGTTGTTGTTGAACATTATTACTTCTAAAGAATAATTATTGTTGGGGCCCCTGGTGCACGGCCCCCTCGCCGCGCCTAGGCCGCAGCCATGTGTTCATCATTTTCGTGAGGAAGTCTCTGGCAAAACGGGTTGGTCCGGATCCGGTTGTTTTGTTACGGGCGGTTTCCCCTTGCAAAAAATAAGGCAAAGTGGACATTTCTTGTTCTTACATAACCAAACTTCAAGAATCCCTTGCAAAAAGTAAGGTAAAGTGGACATTCGCGCGCGCAAGACGGAATCCTTCCAAAACCTTAGTGTTCGTAGCGATTTTAACATAAAAACATCAAAAAACCAATGGTTTTTCACACAAAAAAAAATGTCAAAATTTCATCCCGCGCGCTCTTGCGGATTTGTAGGAAACCCAACACTTTTTAAACATTTCTGTCATACGGGCTTTTGCGAGCAACTTTTTCACGTGCTTCGAACTTCTCCAACAACGGTTGCGCACCTGCCAGGGCCATCATCCCTGTCAAATAATACCATGCGGGGCACATTCGTTTTTTCTTCGCGCGCGCACGCCGAAATCTTCAAAAACCATTGGGTTTCTTAGGAATTTTAGCACCGCGCAACATAAAATCATACGAATTTCACCGTCGTAGGCACCGTGGTTTCCAACAACTAGCGTCAGGAACACGTTACCACCAAAAACCAGTACAGGTGTCCAGTGTTGGAACAGGGGGAAAAGTCGTATACTAAGCTAGCGTCCAGAAAATGTTACCACAACAAGTCACTGTACCCATGCGCCAGTGTAGTAGCCACGGTCGTCCGCAGGCCACGAAGTGAAGTGTCCGAACGTCATAGGGCGGGAAGCTGGGTGTGGGTGGTGGCGAAGAGTCGTTTGGAAATGTGGTAGAGCTTGAACCGGCCCCCCCACAAAGTGGGGGTATTGGCGGGCGTCGTATGAAAACCCTGGCACTGGTGAGAACGGAGTGTCCCCACGTGCTAGTAATTGTTGTTGTTGTTGTTGTTGTTGTTGTCGTTATTGCTGCCATCGTCGATGATGCTGACGCTGATGCTGCTGCTGTTGCTGCTCATGCTGATGCTGATGATGCTGATGCTGATGAGGATGAGGACGATGATGAGGACGATGATGATGATGATGAGGATGAGGATGATATTCTGAGCGCCTGTCAAACTGAGGTTGGGCAGGCAGAAGCAGAGGCTCGGAGCCTTCGCCGCTTCCGTACCCCTTGCTGCCCGCATTGGGGGGGGGCTTCTCTTCCAGCAAACGAGCGGACAAGAAAGACCAGTCCAAGACAGAGCATGCGACACGTCGGCGACAAGGTGGTGGCAAGAACAATCGCAATATCCGTGGGAGGAGGCATGCGGCATGAAGGTGACTTCGAGCCGCAGCGTTCGCAAGGGAAGAATTGAGCGCCTGAGAGGCATGCCGCCACCGCACCACTTCTCCAGGGCATCAACACAGCCAAATCTGGCATGGCGCACTTCCCGTTTCGCACCTGGCGGGCGGCCTGAGGGCCCAAGAAAACGCCCTCGAGCTCGCCTCCACTACATCCAACACCCATCAAGCTGGACCCCCCGATTGGCGCCACTCCCGTCCTCGGCATCGGAGCGAAAAGGGAATGAGACGCGGAGAAAGGGGGGCATGACGCTTGGCCAAGCAACATTTTTTCCAAACGTGGTAGAACACTTGCGCAGACGGTTTTGAGGGTACAATGGCGATCCCACCCAAACAAAACCAAATGATAACGATGGGGAGGAAGAGGGAAGAGGAGGAATAGGGGTGGGACACATGATGCTGCTGATGATGATGAAGATGCTGATGATGATGATGATGATGATGATGATGATGCTGGTGATGATGATTATGATTATGATTATGATGATGATGATGATGATGCTGCTGCTGATGATGATGCTGATGCTCCATCGCAGTACATATAGTCTGGAGACAACTGGCCAGCGACAGCGATCGGCAAGCCTGCATCTCGGACATATCAGCTGCAGCCAACCACCGCAGCATGCCATAGCATGAGGCGTCGGCAGGGTGCATCGAACTCTGCGCAGCGCAAGCGCAGCGGAGGCACGGGCGACCAGGCGTGCACCACCTTCTGGCACCTGGCCCCACGACGGTCTGTGCACCCCCGTTCCCCCTGGAGACAGAATCATGGAGTGTACGAGCTACTCCATAGAGTCCACCTCCACCCATCGGCTGAGCACAGGGCTAGCATGCGGAAGACAGCTGCACCAGCATTCGCACGGTGCGCTTGTCGCATGGCGGCGACGCTATATTGGGCGGGCGACCTGGCATGCACCCCCTTCTCGGCTCCTTGCCTTGAGACGGTCTATGATGATTGTGATGATGATGCTGATGATGATGATGATGATGATGATGATGATGCAGAAGAAGAAGATGAAGAGGAAGAGGAATCCGCCGATCCGGCGTGTGAGTTTCTGAGAGCGTGGGCTTGAGCTCGCTCAAGCTTCGCTCTGCCGAGGGGGGGGGACCTCATTTCCGACCTATTTCCGACCTAATTCAGTGCTTCGCCCCTCCCCTGCAGAGCCCCCCCCCCCCCTCCTGCAGCCCAGCCCCCCTCCCCCCCTGCAGAGCGGACCCCCCCCCTGCAGCCCCCCCCCCCCCCCCCCCCTCAGAGCGGACCACCCCCCTCCCCTGCACCCCCCCCCTGCAGAGCTGAGCAGACCCCCTCCTGCCGAGCGAACCTCCCCCCTGCAGCCCCCCCCCCCCCCTCCCCCCCTGCAGAGCGGACCCCCGCCCCCCCTCCCCTGCACCCCCCCCCCCCTGCAGAGCAGACCCCCCCCCTCTGCAGCCCAGCCCCCCCCCCCCCCCCTGCAGAGCGGATCCCCCCCCGTGCAGCCCCGCCCCCCTGCAGAGCGGACCCCCCCCCCTCCCCTGCACCTCCCCCCCTGCAGAGCAGACCCTGCTTCCTGCAGCCCCCCCCCCTGCAGAGCGGACCCCCCCCTCCCCCTGCAGTCCCCCCTGCAGAGCCCCCCCCCTGCAACCCAGCTCCCGTCGTCGTCGTCGTCGTCGTCGTCGTCGTCGTCGTCGTCGTCGTCGTCGTCGTCGTTGTCGTCGTCGTCGTCGTCGTCGTCGTCGTCGTCGTCGTCGCTCGCGTCATCGTCGTCGTCGTCGTCGTCGTCGCTCGCGTCGTCGTCGTCGTCATCGCCGTCGTCGTCGTCGTCGTCGTCGTGGTCGTTGTCGTCGTCGTCGCTCTCGTCGTCGTCGTCGTCGTCGTCGTCGACGTATTCGTTTTCGTCGTCGTTTTCGTCTTCCTCGTCGTCGTTCATTTCCACAGGCACCCGGAGCGCCCCGGATCGGCGGCACTGGCCGGAGGCCACTACAATACGAACAAAATAGCGATCCTCTGGTGCCGCCAGAGATCTCGACCCTTTCTTTCTCCCTGGGACTGGTTTTGCATCCTGAGTGGTTGTTGACGCTTGATTGGCCCGCAAACGACCTCCAGAGGCCGACATTGCGAAACACATTCGTCGTGCTATTTACTTCAAGGAGGAGCTGGAGAAGGAGAATGAGGAGGAGGACGACGAGGGAAGAGGATGAGTGAGGAGGAGGATGAGGATGAGGAGCACACCACTCCAAGGAGGCTCCCTGATCCTGCGGCGGCTGGGATACCTATCAGCAGCGCGCACGGGGAGGGAGGAGGGAGGAGTAGGAGCGAAGAGGACGGAGGAGGAGCAGCAGGATTGAGGGGAAGAGGAGGGATGAGGAGGAGGAGGGAGGAGACGGACGGAGAGGGGATGAGCGCGTCCGGCGGGAGCGAAGCCTCGCCGAACACGAAGAACTCCCTGATCGTGTCGCACCGCGCGGCCCCGGTCTTTGCTATGCCGAGCAGCTCGGGCACGGTGGCCAGGAAGGCGGCGCCGCAGTCGGCGATCTGATGGCCGAGCTCGTCCTCCACCGCCACCGCTCAGGAACGAGGATCGAGGTTCGAAGAGGAATCTAAGGCATCCCACCAGCCTTTCGGGCGGAGGTGGTTCAGCGAGTTAGTTCTTCCAATCTCCTTCTTCCCCTACCCACTCTCCCTGGGTCTGGAAGGGTGTGGAGGGGTCGCTAGCAAATAGAGCGTCCCCGATGGCCCAAGATGGCCTCAAGAGGGCCATCATACGGCCCAAGATGGTCTCCAAGATACACCGATGTGGCTTAGGATACCCTCAAACATGCCAAGAGGCGCCATGGCCGTCTCAAGAGGGCACCAAGTTGCCACGGAGCCCTCGAAGGATGCCCCCGAAAAGTTAAACTCCTTCCAAAACCGCAGGAGCAATAACGAACTTTGCATTCTCGCCTTTCGCTCCTGATGGGCTTCCGAAGCTGCACGATGGCTTGAATATGGGCCCAAAAAGGCTCCACGACGACCCCAGGAGCGCCCCAGAGCGCCCCAAGAGTGCCCCGAGAAGGCCCCCCTAGGGCCCCAAGAGGCGATTCCTTGGTTTCCAGGGGGGCGAGGTCAGGTAAGATCCCCCCTCTCGATCAAAACCAAAGTCATTGCACAACCATTGTTTGGGAACGGGGGCATCCTTCGGATGCTTCAAGGGCCTGCAAGATGGCCTCTGGGAGCCCAAGATGGCCTCCAAAATTGCTCGAGCAATCCAAAGATGTTTCAAGGTGGCCTCCAGTATCCCTCCAAGAGGCCCCGATCGCTTCACGACGGCTCGGCCATGGACCTCTCCAAGGAGACCCCCAAGGGGCGCCATGGGGCGGCTTGGACGGTTGGCACATCCTGGCAACTGCATCATCGTTTTGTTCGCGACGGGCAAGTCATATTTCCAATGGACATGATAGGTGGCATCGCCAACGTTGGTGATCTGCTCAATCATCTGCTCCGGCAAGGGGTTACAAAGGAGGATGACGAGGGGGATGAGGGCCAAGGGGAAGGTGAATGGGAAGTGGGGCGATTCCTGATGGGCTCCCAGGACGCCCTGGGATGCCCCAGGAGGTCGGAGCAAGGAGTGAGAGAGGGAGGCTGGATGGAGGGATGATCAGCTGGAGAAGCAGTGGGAGGAGGAGATCTGGGAGGAGGAGGAGGAGGCGGAAAGAACGCGACATGCTGACGCATCAGGTCCGACCAACGCAAAAGGAGGAGGAGGAGGAGGTGGAGGAGGAGGAGAAGGGCCCCCTCCCCAGACCCTTATCTGGAGCCAGATTCTGGAGGCCTGGCCCAGATTCTGGGGGCGCCTGAGCTGGATGCTCGCAATCTCTGGGCCCACGCCTTCAGAATCCGAGCCCAAGTGAGCGACGAAAAGAAAGAGGTCTTCCGCCAAAGGGCGCACAACAACCTGGCGCAGGCCGCCAGCGCGGCAAGCCGCGTGGAAACAGAGGGCGCTTACACGCAGCCTCACGCGGACAGCTTATGCGCGAATGTCGGCAGAACCGACCCCGTTTCTTTACGTCGCTCAAGCGAGGGCACTCGTCCCCAGTGTCCTCGCGGTACGCGGGGTTGAGCGTGGAGAGAATGACGCCGCAGCGCAGGGCCGCGAAGTACAACACCGCCCACTGGAGACCCGCTGCGCTCTCTCTCTTAGTGTATGCTACTGTCTGATGCTTTGGATGTATGTATCCCTCCGTCTCTCTTTCTCTCTATCCCTCTCTCTCTGTCTCTACCCCGCTATAGATAAACATCCCTCTCCCGCTCTCCTTAAGTACCGTTGTTTGCTCGTTTTTGTTACCCGCATCATAAATTGAATTCTTGCTTTCACTGGGCACCCCGCGCAGGAACCTCCTCTGGTCATCATCATCATCATCATCATCATCATCATTATCATCCTCCTCGTCCTCCTCCTCATCATCCTCATTCCCATCCTCATCCTCATCATCCTCATCCTGACCATCCTCATTATCGTCCACATCTCCTCACCGTCATACTTGTAATCGTACTCATCATCATTGTCATGTTCATGCTCAACATCATCAGCAACACCTTCATCCTCATCACCATCAGAAGCATCGTCATCATCACAAGCAGCATGTTCATACTCATCCACGGGAACCAACCTAATCAACAACATCATCATACACACTCGCTCACTCCTTCACCCACTCACTTTTTCACCTACTCACTCACTCTCGTCTGTGAGTGACTCGCGGACAACTCAGGCGGGAGCCCGCCCCGTATGGGGCCCGCGAATCATGTTACCAATCCGAGCGGGCCATCGGCATCCTGTAACTGTCGTCGTTCTTGGCCTCTTCAAGCCTGAGTACGGAGAAAGCCTCAAGCGGGAGCCTCGTCTGTGAGTGGGTTGTGAAGAATTCTCAAGCGAGAACCTCTTCCCTATGGGGCCCGCAGCTCATATGACCCATCGGAGAGGGTTATCGCAATCCTTCAACAATCGTCATTTCTGGCCTATTCAAGGCTGCGTATGGAGGAAAACTCAAGCGGGAACCTCTTCTGTGAGTGGGTTGTGAAGAACTCTCACGCGGGAGCCCGTTCCCTGTGGGGCCTGCAGCTCATGTGGCGAGTCCGAACGGGTCATCGGAATTTTTTAACAGTCGTCAGTCTTGGCATTCCAAAATCGGATATGGCGAAACCCTCGGGCGGGAACCTCGTCTGCGAGTCGATTGTGGGGAAGGAGTCCCCTTCCCATGGGGCCCGCAGCTCGCTGTCGTCACTTTTGGCCTTTCAAGCTTTAGAATGGTGGAAGCCTGGAGCGGGAGCCTCGTCTGTGAGTGGCCATTCGCTCGATTCATCATCGTAGGAAAAGGAATCCGAGGAACATGGGTTCAGGAGGACGACGGCGGTCGGGCACACACGGCGGACTTATGTGCCCGGGCCACGTGGCAGAGTTCAGGAACGCACGTCGAGCGCCGCTCGGGGTTCACCCTGACGCGCGCGTCCTACCTGACCTTCACGCCGTCGCAGTGTCAGACGCTGCGCAAGGGTGTCACCATCAACTGTGCCAGGGATGGGGGCGCTGGTCGCACGGGCATGTCGGACGAGCGGTGGTGGCTGCATCTCTACTTCATGTTCACCCGCGCCACGTGCATGTGGAACCTGCTGATCCTGCGGCCGCCCACGCGAGAATTCCTGGAGCACGGACCGCCGCCGTCCTTGCGGAAGGTGCTCGGGGACTTCGACAAGAGAGCGGAGGAGCTCCAGGCCTGAGGCGGAACAGCTCGCGGCAGAGCTCGCGTTCGCGTTGCCTCCGGCCTGAGAACGGCCTCGAACAGCTCGAGACCTGCGGGGTTGTCTCAGCGGCTCGCTCCCGCGCCCCACCGGCACGACGGGGTTTGTCTCAGCGACCTGTCCCGCGGGTTTGTCCCACTGGTCTCGCCCATTCGGTCGTCCAGACAGCTCCTTGAGCTGGTCGTCGGCGAACGTGTTCGCGCCGATTGAGGGGCGGCGGCGCTGGGCAAAAATGGAGACGCCAGGAGGGCGGAATCATGGAATGATGAGGTGGAGGAGGGGGCGGGGGGCGAGGAGGAGGAGGAGGAGGAACTGCAGGAGGTCCTGCTGGAGTTGCCTGGGACCGTCTGCGGAGAGGGACGGGATGTAGTACGAGTGGTGTCTGGTCCAGAATTCAGACACGGGTTGAAACTCCCCCAGATTCACACCGTGGCGTGACCTTCACTTCGCTACCTCTCCTCTCGGTACTCGAACGGCTCCAACTGTGGTGCTGACGATGTATCCATCTCTCTCTCTCTCTGTCTGTTTCATTATTTCGTTCTCTCTCGTTGTTGTTGTGTTTCTTTCTTTCTTTCTCTTTCTCTCTCTCTCTCTCTCTTGACATCCCCATTCCCATGAGCTCCGTATTCGTTTTGGATCACGTGCAGCATCCGCAGTAATGAGAAATGCCTGGGGCCGGTTGTCGTCTATATTTGGCTGAATTGGATGTCGCCAGCGGAAAATTCCGCGCAGTTTTACTTACGAGCGACGGTGCGGCAGTTGACTGTGGAGTTCATTTGCGCCTCGACAACCACTGGCGCCGCGACAACAAGGCCTTTGCCCATGGACAACACCGCAGTATACCCTTGTCCCCTGGGATGATATGCGTACAAATTGCCGAAAGCTGTCACCACACAGTGCTGCTCCGAAGAGACCGCGCCGTGGCGATCTGCGGCAACAAAGAATATGACCAACCAAAAAAATATCCCGTCGCTGGACGTGGGGTCGGGCTACAACCAAGTGGCGTGGCCGCTTGGCACGACACAACAGTGCTCCTAAGAAAAGGCGGCGTGGCATTGGCTTGTGGTGGTAACGTCTGCGGTCAGCTTCACTTCCCAACAACGGGGCCAGGAGCAAACTACATTAAACTTTGCAGCTGGAAACAACCACATTGCGCTACTCATGGGCGTCGGCGTTGGAGTGGCCAGCGGCGACAATGTATACCATGAGTGTGACATTCCAGCTTTGAACTCAGGCCTTGGCTATACGCAAGTTGCTGGTGGAGGCAGCCACGCCATGCTGCTCAGGAACGACTGGCTCGCCATGGGCTGCGGAGAAGAATCGCTCCAATCAAGCTGCTTTGGGCCCAGGACTGAGCTACACACAAGTATCCGCTGGCAACTGTTAATCTATGCTTTTCAGGAACGACCGCGCCGCGGTGTCCTTTGGTATGTGGGGCTCGTATTTCTTTCAGGCGTGGGACGCCTGCCACGACTGGTTACCTGGCGCAGGTTACCGCTACACGCACACCGCCTCCGGGTACAATACAGCCATTCAACCCTGTGCAAGAGCGACGGCACTATCAAGTCTGGTGGCTGGGATTTCCGCGGTGAACGCAATCGTCCAGCGTTGGGCGCACGGCCGAACTACGCGGCTGACTTGCATTC